CGTAAAAATATATTATGGTCGTGGCCTCCTCAGCATTTTTTTTTTTTTTTTTTTTTAATATATACACTTTGTGAGCTGGTTTTTCCGTAAAAAAATTACATTTTTTTTTTATATGTAGATATTCATGTAGGCCAATCAATAGTAACTTTATATTTTCTCGTTCCAGAAAATTAGATGGGAGCAACATCAACAAGTAGAGCCTGTCAAAATATCCTGAAAACTATCAGTGTTTTTATTCTTGATTCCATATTTATTTGTTGTCTTAAAATACAGTAAGAAATATCACCGTTTGTACTTGTTTGGTTACTTTAAAAAAAATCAATCATATTTATTTTGCATTATGATTTTGAGCCTTACAATACACTGTAATGAAAAATAAATTTACAATCATCAAAATATTAAAGAAAAATTAAAATTCATATTACTTAACATACCTATAAACTCTGACACTAAATCGTTGTCATTATCTCCTCTCATTGATCCTGTGATCTCTTCGTGTTCTACTAAAGGCAAAAATAGTTGAACAAAATCTTTTGAGTAAGGAGGCACTATTGCTTCCAACACCTTAAAATGTTATTTAAGTATTAATTTTATTAAACTCTCCGTTATCGCATTCATTGAATTTTAAAATGATCATCCAATTACCTCTGTAACAAAGTATCGAATTAATGATATATCCGTGTCACCCTTTTGCCAACACTGTTTAATGTAAGTAACAGTCGGAACCACGCATCCTTTGCACAATATATGCACCATTCTGTCGATTAACATCTTTTTTAATTCTAATTGCACTAAAATTTCCAATTCATCTTGTTTGCTTTCAAAAAGTTGTATTAATAGCCTTAAAACTTTTGGATGTAGTAAGTTGTGTAAACCAACTACTTCATCAAGCAGAGCTAAATGTATTGGACAATGTTCTGTGCACAATTTGAAGTAAGATGGCTCCGTTACTGTAGACTCTACCCATCTTATTACTCCAGCACTGACTACTGGAGATCTAATCAAAAATAAATAAAAATTACAATTTTTCAAAAACCTTATAAACTCAATATTTTACAAACAAAACTTACTTTATGCATTCGAACAAAGTGTTAATTTCTGCTATAAGCTCAGTAGATCCTTTGTTGGTATTACATATATTATGAACTTTTTCAATTGATTGAATTGTATTTTTCAAATCATCTTTGTTGATTTTCCTTTGAGTTCCTTTCTTTGTTGAAGTTTCAACAACACTGGCTGCATAAGCTAACAGATACATATATTTCGACTTGTGTTCTGAGTTGATTTTTACACCAGGTTTGAACAAAGCATCAACAAGCAATTCTGCAAAAAGAACGTTAAATGAAACGATACAGTTGACATGACAATTAAATGTTTAGTTTCAGAGAATTGGTACCTAAAAATTGCGGGTTGCGAATAAGTTCTATTGGTGGTGGATCCGGTAGATTGTAATTACGATACAGAACAGTTATATCAGCCGGATTCAATGAATTCCGAGAAAGCATAGATGATAGCGCTAGACAGGCACCTGGACTAGACGCAGCTCCATTCAATGCCAGTGTAATGGGTGTCACATCATGTCCACTGTGACAACAAATTTATTAAACTTGTTGAGATGAGTATGTTATCTTTTACTTTTAAACCTTTAAAACAGTATGGACTTACTTCACTTGAGCGCATTTAGTAATTTCTTGTGATAATCTCTTCATCATAAATCCACCTTTATTTTCGTGGGACAAAATATGTAGCAACAATTGACTGTATACGTAAGTATGCTGGCCGTGACAAACCATTCTCTGAAATTGGAATAATTTAAAAGAATTATGACGTAAAAAAAAAAGTCATTATGATGAATGTACTAACTGCACATTCTTGAATACTAGTTTGCCACTGTCCGATATTTTGAAGAAAATTAGCAATGGTCGTTTTTAACACGCGAGAAAATACTTCGATTTGTTGAGCAGCAGTTGATATACTTGTGATTTCTCCTTGATAACCAGCATCGGAGATAAGCTACAAGTGGACCCAAAAAATTAAAAAATTTAGGTTTTATTTAATTTCCTTAGACAAAGTAAAATACGAAAAATTTAGTTAATATACGAAACGAGAAACAGTGTTATGAGTTGACAGATACTTTTGCAAAGATAAACTAAAATAAGATGTATATGTATTTGTTTACCTTAATTGTGAAATTTAACATCAAACAGTCAGGATATTCTTCAGCAAGTTTATAAATAAGTGATCTCCAGGTAGGATGCTGAATCATATCTGTCATCCATCCAGGTGTCTACGAAAGAAATTCGTGAAAAATTAGGCATACATTTAAATATATTCAATCAAATCACCTCTATCTCGTCAGAAGAAAGAAAAATTTTGTCAGCTTTCTTGGGATCAAAATTTTTAAGTATCATTTCTTTCATACTGTTTTCCACCATTGCTTGGACGTCTGGAAGTTTTACTCCCGCTAGGATCAGCCACTCAGCCAGGAGATTTGCCATTTGAGCGCAAGCTGTGTAATTACGAGATAACAAGTCTATTACGGTTTCAGGATTACCTCCAGCTTGAAAATACCTTTTTTAAAAAATACGTTCGTACAATTAAAAGTTTAGAGTAACAAATGGGATTCAAAGCATTCAATTTATAAGTTGTGACCACAAACTTTTTGAGCTGAGTGCAAATGCCAGGTTCCATAATGTAATCCGGAGTTTTAAATTTATCAAGGCACTCTTTTAGAACCAGCTGAGGATCCTCGGAAGGATCATCATTCATGTCATCGCCCTGGTTAATGTCCTCCCAACTGGTGTGCTCCTCCTCGTTGAAGCTGGACTCCATTCTACGAAAAAAGAATTCAATCCTCAGGTAAAATGTACATGAGCATACCATAGAACTAAAAAGTGTTTATATTTACATTTCTCCTGAGTTTAAGCTTTTGTTTAATCACTTTTTTCACTTATATCTAACTTTGACTGCTTTATTTTGGAGGTGAAAACAGGTATTTAACGTTTATTTGTTTGTTCACGTCAGTTTACACGTACATACGTCAGTACGTTACTGTCTGATTTACAGGTTATTACAACTACAACAGTATGTCAGTGTTGTCGGGGTAGTATATACTATATAGATGTTGTCTATGTATGTGTAATACACATTGTGTATCCTCACGACTCTCACGAGCGTTCATATATATATACACATTTATGTGTGTGTGTGTGTGTCTAAACCTAGATAAAAGAGACATAAGAGTTTTGTACGGCACTACGGCCGTACGGCGATGCGCCAGCGCCACGATAAGCAAGGAGCGAGTTAGCGAAGCCAGAGATCTACTAATCTCTGGTTGCATGTGCAAGCATCTCAGGGCCGTATGCGGCTGGTACGATCATTGTCGAGCGTGGTAACTTGATTAATTGTCATTGACTTGAAGTGATGTGAACTTTCTTTTATTTTATTAATTTGATTGAATAAACGATTCGTCCTTTGTGTTTGTGTTACCCAATAGTATTCTTTGCTTAATTAAAAGCGCCTACCATTCCTCTCCTAGTGTTGTTGAAGATAATAAAATACATATAACTTAACATGTATACCGATCACACTTTGCGATTTGCGATATCGATATTCTTGTCTGCGACAATCGATGTTCCTATCGGTAATATCGGTATTTGTAACAATTGTGACACTAACATATAAAAGTCGCAGTGAATGAGGCTTGATTTTATTTATAAAAGGGCATTTTATCAAATGTTAGAAAGTTAATCATCATTTGGAAATTTTTTTAAAAATAATTCACAAACCGATTTATATGGTAATCTTATCAATCCTTACTTAGCAATATTTATTAAATAAGCTAAGTAAGTGTACTCAGGCAGTGTTTACGTGTTCTAAATTTATAAAAAAAAAATCTGGATGATACTCGAAAAAGTAATAGCAAATAATAAGGTGAATAATTGAGGTTTTAACTAATTTTTAGGTGTATATATATGTATACACACAACTAATTACATAACACAAGGATTTCAACTCTTGATTTTTATTGATTATTGATAATGATGATTATTGTTATAATTTCAAAATTATCATTATTGATGATTTTTCTTCTATTTTCTCAAGAGGATTCAAAGGATATTGGAAATAACAATTATTAACTGTAATAAGTAATGTGTAAGTATTTTTGTATAAAATATTTATTTTTACTGCTTAATAATTACAATATACATTGTACGCATTATATTTACGGTAATGTTCAACGTGGTAATCGCAAGTAAATTATTTAATGATGATCAATGCTTTTATTTACACATACACATTTCATGCTTTAAATATCATAACTATTACAATTAGAGTTGTTGTTTACAATTAAATCTTTGGCGTAAAGGAGTATAAGGCAAAACTGATGTGTTTATCGTTTATTGGTAAATGCAATCAATCAGCCTTGAAGTATAGTTAAATATAATTATGTGTATATAAGTACAATGGTACTCGACGCTATATGAATAAACAAAGTATATGTACAAGTTTCAAAACCCATCGAAATTACCTAGTTTTTCGAGAAATATTTTTGATCTCGAATAAAAAATTTGGTAGTTTCACTGGATCTCATTGCTTTCTTAGACGAAAGCAGTCTTTTCATTTCATTTTCATTTTCATATTTATTTATTTGTTTTTTTTATCTTTGAATATCCGCTGGTACCTAATTATTAGCAAGAAATTTTTCTTTAACATTTTGATATGCACATAACTGGGTATTCAAAGAATACTGTACAAACACGCTCCTCCAAATCTTACATAGTTATTTAGTTGTTTGAATAAATTTTTAACTATGTTCTGAGATTTAGTGTATTTATGTAACATAAAAAATGTTAAACTCGAAACTCGATACCCTGAGCATAAAATTCGTCGGCGAATTTCCAATATCTTGGTATAGCTTTAAATATACGTGTACGCAAACAACTTTCTACGTATGACTTTCTTTGCACAAGCACATAGGTAAAAATCTCCTCCTGATAATCGATTCGAGAGATGTGACTCGTGCACACGCTTACCAGCTATTATTATACAATTAACAATTTTTATTTCAACGGCTACGAAAAATTTTCACACTTCCTCTTGTACACTTGTTTTTCTCCGCAGTAACGATAACCATCGAAATCTACCCAAATTGGTACACCAAATGTCATACATACACCCACACAAAGCTTTGTATAGGTGGGCCAGTCTACAGACACTGCTCCTTCCTCTGGACGGCGAGTTCAGCCGAAGCGATGGCCATCCACTTGTTACTGTCGGATCTGTACCAGGTCAAACCGAGGGAGTACCTCCCGTTGAGATTGGCGTGCTGGCACTTGCTGAACCACCATCCACCGTGATAATTCGCCGCGCAATTGGTCGTGCTCGCGTCCAAGTCCCGATCCCGCGCGCTAAACCTCATGTCGTTCTGGTAGCTCATCGCGTCCGTGGCGTTGCCCCCGAAACCCGACACCCTCAGCCTATAACCGTTCTCCTCGCCGTCGACGCTAAAGTTCTCGTAAGTGGCCAGCCAGTAGTTGTCGTCGATGTCGTACAGCTCGATCCTCAAGCGCGTGCAATTGTCCCGACTGAGCCGGTGCAGGGCCTCGTTGCCCGCCCAAAACTCGTTCAACGGCGAGCCAAAGCCCGTCGCGTAGTCGTTCCAGCTACGGTCAAAGTCCACGCTCCCGTCCACCCTGCGACCCACGACTATCCAGCCCTTCCTGCACGCCGCCAACAACGGAGCCCCCGGCCCCGGCGCCAACAAGCTCAACCCGTCCCTCTCCTCGCAATTCCCCGGCAGAGCGTCCACCATCTTCCGGTAATCGTCCTCCACGTGCTCCAGCTCCTTGGTCAGGTTCTCCGCCTTACCGATCCCCCCGCTGAACTCGACCAGCTGATCCACGCTGGCGTTCAAACGAGCCAGCGCCTCTTGCTGCTGGTCGCTCCTACCCTGCAGCCTAACCGCGCTCACGCTCAGGGCTTGGACCACGTCCTTGAGATTGGCCAGGTCCTCCCGGCTCGCCGACAGCTCGGCCGCCTTGAGCGCCACGTTGACCCCGAGCCGGCCGAGCTCGCGCCTGGTCTCCGACTGGTTGGCCACGACGCGCTCCTCGAGCCGCTCCATGGACTCGACGAGCCTGACGACGGACTCGCCGAAGCCGGTCGCGGTGGCGAGGTGCCGGTGGAGCCGGTGGACCTCGTCGCTGAGCTTGCGGCTGGAGGACTCGAGGCCGCGGACGCGTTGGGACAACTGTTGGCCGTCGGCGCGGTCCTCGAAGACGACGCGCTTCTCCAGGAGGGCGCGCTTCCGGGAGACGAGGCCGATCTTGTGCTCGAGCTTGTCGAGGCGCTCGTCCAGCCGGTGGACGGCCCCGGGGAGTCGGGAAAGGGCGTGGCGCGTGTGGTGCCTGCTCACTTCCTCCGGGGGGCTCTTCTCGGGGTTGACGTCGTTCTCGCTGTCGACGGGGATGCCGCCGCGGGGGTGGCTGATGTGGCGTTTGCCCTCCTCCTTGATCGACTTTACTTCCATCTGGACGCTGCTCAGCTGCAACAAACAAAGTGCGTCCGTTAGACATGCTTGGGGTTTCATCTCAATGATGGTGATTCATACATCACATATTTATATTATAACGATTGGAAGGGGATGCCGATTACCGGGGTGTTGGGAAACACATGTTTTTGTATACCCTCGTAATCGCGAGTATGGGTTATTCTGGTAGTGAGAGGGGGGGGGCATTGATGTAATATTCATACAGTTCCCAATGTGCCTAGAAAAAAAATATGTATACATGTATCCGATCCTATACTTATTGAGGAAGCATCACCGTGCAGCCTTGGGAAAAGGCGTTTTTTGAATATACCAGGGATTATCATATTTATACGAATGACGATTAATATACGATTCCAATGTACGTGTGTATATATATATATACAGTGCGCGGCAGTAGAAGCGCGTCGTTAAAAGAAAATGAGGGAGCGCGCCATCCGCGGGCATTGTTCGATGCGCCATATAAATATACTCCCTCCCGCGTTTCTTTGGCTTGCAATAATCATTCGATGGATCGATCGATTGACCGGTTCGGGTGGAAAGCGAAGAGAAAGAGATTATCGCTTTTTTTTTTTTTTATTCAACTCCATTTGGGGCACGTGAGCAAAACTCATCGCGCACAGGTGAGAGCTTTGCCTCGGGGAGTAAATAACAATGTTTATTTTTAACTCTCCAGCGGCGTTTTTTTTTTCTTTTTTTTTTTTCTTTTGACGAAACCAACTGTTTTATTTTTTTTTTTTTAATCCTACACCAACTTTGGGGATGAAGAAAAAGTATCGCGGAAATTACAAGTCGTAAAAGCCAATGTGGGTCATAAACGGTAATGAAATTATACGGGTAACGTTATTGTTCGATCGGTAAACGATGCAGCGGAATTGAATGGATGCAAATAATGGGCGATTCAATATGCCGGAATGGAAGAAACAACATTACCCCAAAATGCGTGCGTCGATATAGGGCTATACGTGTAACGCGTCCAACGCGTGTTTTCGAGTCGCGTATGCATGCACGTTTTGTGTTGTATAGGTACCGTAGCGGTTGGCAGTGTTGGCACGATCATTCGGTTCCATCGTCGATGAAAATTTGTTGTCCCGGCTATCATTGAAATTAAAGCCCCGAGATTCCCGGGCAGGGTGTAGATTTATTATTATAATTGCGATAAGTGAAATGTTTTAACGTATTTGAAATTTAATAAAAGTACACCTGCTGGTGCAGCGTAAACCTACCTAAGAATTTATTGTATATCTCGTGTAAAAACATTTGTTAAAGTTTTAAAAAAAACGTTTAGACAGCGTTTTTTTTTACTTTACTTTCCCCAAACGTGTTATTTTCTAACGTGTACGGAGTATCGGAGAAAAGATTCGATTTTCTTCTATTTTCGGCGTCAAAGTGAACCAAAGTGTCGTATCGATACGAATAAAAAATAATAATAATAAAAATCACATGATTGCAATTATGAAGGCTCTTTTGTCATTTTCTTCTCTCTCCCTCTCACTTTTCAAAATTATTTTTCGGTTTTCGTTTCATTACACGGTTTTATTGAAGCATCTAGGATTTTTAACTGTTTTTTCAACGCACGTACCATCCATTGTTCGTTTTTTATTTGTTCACTGGTACGCGAGAAAATAAAATTTTATTAAAAAACAGCTTCCATACTCGCAATACATTTTGCAATAGCAATTAAGTACATTGCTACACAATTGAGGTATACGTAAAACCTTATAAAAGCCAATGAAATCACGCGATCGAACAACTTATTGGCCGGCAATCGCTCGAAACCAGATATTATTATATCCGCGACTCCTCGAAACGTGCTCCCCAAACGGACGCGCACGTGATTCGAATTTCCGCGATTTGTCATGTACGTTTTGCAATCGAACGCGTAATTCAGCCTCGTTACTTCACACACGCCATAGTTCTCTTCGTGAAAGAAAACCTTTTTTTTTCCTGTTCACATTTCAGCTCGGCCCCATTTCATTACTAAACGTATTCGCGAGAAAAAAAAAATAAAGCTACTCGCGCAAACAGAGCATGTAAATAAAACTTTATCCTTCCACGGAAAAGTGGAGAGCAAACTTTGTATTTCATTCGCGTCGGAAGCTATATCATCGCGTGGAATCGGAAATGGAAAAAAATTTGCAGGCATCTCGCGTTTCATCATAAACATTTTTTGAAAACGGATCCATTGAAATAAATGAAAATTATTATAAAAACAGACATGGGCAATCGAGAACTTCCGTATTGGGCGCGAGTGCGGCAAAAAAAGCAAACCACCCAACGGACTTGTAACAGCTGGCTTTTTTGCAACGGTCCAAACTTCGTTGCGTCGGAGAGGGAGGGAAGAAAACAACGCCTACACCGTAAATGTGGTTGGAAGCGAAAAAAAAAAAGAAGGGCCCTCCCCTTCCGTAGAATGTATATAATCATACACCTATGCCGCAAAATATGTGTACGAAGGGCTGTGTCTATACACATCCACGTTCGTAGATGACGGAAAGAAAAAAAAAAAAATTGCAAAACTTTCGAGTTGGGCAGTTTTCACCCTTCCGCTGCTTTTCAATATAATCTCCCGTTAAAAGCTTGGCTCGAGAGTTTTTCCGTCAAATTTTTTCTCGCCCCCATAATTTCTGTTGTAAGGGTGTTTGGAAACTCTCGAAGCAATTAAAAATTTTATCCACGTCCTTTCATCCCTCTTTTTTAAATAAAAATCTTTTNAGAGAGCATCCCGTGTATCGTATATTATATATACCTTTTTTTAATTATAAACTTATTGTTTCGCAACCGTGAGGGGACATGAAATATCCACGAAAGGACTTTCGATAATCAAAAAGAAATCCATGCACCGTGAAAAAAAAAGAAGAATTCTTCGAACGCTTGCACGCGGTGGCGAGCGAGAGTCGTGTTAAAGCACGTCTGTGGCGAAAAAAAAAAGAGTACAAGAATGAGAAGGGGAGAGAGAGAGAGAAAAGCCAGGTGTTCGAGAGACCGGAGGGTTGAGCCTGCACGTGTGTGTTATGTATATATATATATACACAATGGCAGCGGCAGCCCAGACGACCGTTGAGACGCTTGCCTTTTTTTGCTGTTCTTTCCGATCTTACCAGCGAGGGAAAAATTGCGAAAAATTCCGCGGCGCGTAAGGAAAGGCAAGAAGAAGCGCGGGTGTAAATAATACCTAACGAGGACGGCGAGTTTAAAATTGCATTTGGAGATTGAGCAACTCCACTGCCGGGGGGATACTCGGCTCTCGGCCGCGGAGGGTTATATAAACTGCCGGAACGCCGGCGAAATGGCAAGGGCCTGCTCTCGCTTTCGAGAAATCATCGTCGAGAGGAGAGACGTGGTGGGGTATTTTTTTCGGTCAAGCGTCATGCGTTGGGAATTATTAGAATGGAAATTTTTGCGTTAAAGTGGAATTTATTACTTGCGCGTCGATGGCCTTTTTCTCTGTGCTTGGGGCAATTCCCGCAGAAACGAGGATACGGTACATTTTTAAATTTAAGCTTTTAAAGCTTCGAAAGAGGCGTGGGGGGGGGGGAGGAATGACGTTTGTTCCATCTGTAAATGTTACGTATATGTGTACATATTCGGCGAATTCCAAGAGGCAAAATTGAAACTTTCTCTACCCCATCGCGAAGATTATCATATACACTTTGGGTTATTCAAGCAAAACTCATTTTCTCAAGTACACGAGCTTCCTCTTTATTTATGTTTTACCTGATGCTGAACGAAATTTCATGTTAATTAAACACAAACATCAATTAAATCATAATTCAAACGAGTAGTTGCATTTCCTGCAAAGAATACTTAACGTTTCATTCGAAAATTTGAAGCATCAAGATGATGTTGATGGTATTAAATTTATTGCATGCCTTTGTAAACACGTTGTAATTATACCAAACAATACGATTACGAAATTAAACTCCTTTTAAAATTGGCCAAATATATATACATGGTTATAATTATATTCTCGGTAAAATCAAGTATAGGCCTTTAAAAAAAACACTTTTAGCATGAAAAATAAAACGCGAACGATTCAGATATCACGGTCCAAAACACGAAGCATATTAATGGAATAACGAGCTCATTTGTAATCTCCGCTCGTATATCTAATAGGGTAGGTATGTAATTCATATCATTAGTACATTATACGAGTATACCTATGTATGGACGTGGAAAGCTCCGCCACCGACAAGAGGATATGCTATCTAAAATTAAAACTCGAGAGAGAAATCAGAGAATGTAATTACAACTTTCTATTTTTTTTTCCCTTTTTTATCACACACTCACCAAAACCGGGTCGTTTTTAATTAAAACTAAAAATAACAAATTGTGTTAACATACAGACTCTGTTTCAGAAAAGTACATAATCCAATGCATCTTACAACGAGCTTTCGAGTGCGAAACTTTTTCAAGGACCGCTGCTTGTTTATTCATGCAAATTAATTACGTAACACACACACACACACACATACGTACGTACAGTTAAGACACAGCCCTTATAATACAAGGCTTGTATGTAACTTTATAAGATGGCACGTAAACCTACATGTGGGTTTATACGTATGCTAATCAGGCGCGCCTGTTGTCGTTGTTGTTAATAGTGTTACTGTTAATTATCATTTTACCCAGAGTAGCTACTTGTTTAAACGCAGCCGAGCTGGGGTACATATAGGTTTCTTTTCCTCCACTCTTCTGCAAAAAAAAAAAAAAAAAAAAAAAAAAAAAGGGTTGGGGGTGAACACGAGAGGAAATGAATAAGCGATGCCCGGAGTTCATTGAAATGCTGCTTCCCTCTCGGCAGTTTACCACCGTTTTTGTGTACACACGGACTTTTTACATATTGCGATCGAGAATAACCAATGACTTCGAAATATTACAGCAAAGACACACATCACGATGCAGAATGTAATATATTTGTATAGGTATAGGATAAATGCGGGAATGATGTACATATGCCAAGGTACACGTACACGTTGAATAATCGAGAAGAAGAA